AAATTATTAATTTTTAACTAGATATGCATTTAGACACCCATTTATTGTCACAATATTTATATTTTTTACTAACCTAACTACTAAAACTACTTTATTTTCATTTGCATAAGTTGTTATATGTCGACATAGTGCAGTTTACCTCCGAGGTAGTTCTACAAAATGAAATGTATGGGTTGATATTCTAAGATTATAAGTACTTATCATTTTATTTTTTAAACTACTAAATGTAATGTAAAAAAATGAAAAGACGAGTAGCAAACTTTTTGTAACATTTAACTATAAATTGTATTTATTTGCCTTGCAAAACTGTGACTTTTTTCGTAGGTTCTGAATACTGTTGGGAATGCATTTGCAAATAATCGTCTTCTTGTTCCTGACTGATAAACGAATTTATCCTGGAAGTGTAGGTAGTTCACAAATTTTGTAATTTTTACTTAAGTGTTCAACATCCTTTCCCAATAAATTCTCTCTATTTGCTGCCTTAACCCACAATTCAAGTCTGAAAAATACATACTATCATTGTACTACCATTTTATGGCAAGGTCAATTCCTATTTCATCCTCAAGGTTTCATTCCTACCTCACTGAATCTTTCACAAGAGTGAACAATCCTTCTTTGCCACCTGTTCTTGAGGTACATCCACGATAAATACAAGTATATCCTCCTCCTCTTTGACGCGGCATTGTTTATAAACCTAATCTTAATACGTACAATAAAGTCTTAAATTAACAACTCCACAATTAAAAACATCAACAAAATCTAAAAATAAACCACTAAAAAACGTAAAAGTAACGTAAAAGAATATTCGCTAAAAACAACCAAAAATCCAAAACAAAAAAATGTTGCTATAATAGCTCCAAATGAAGAACATATCGATGGTTAAGAGCACAAATATTATATGTCCATTTTTTTAGAAAATGGAATAGGTAGGATTCTATATCCTTTATGATAAAATCTTTATGGTTACCAAATATAGTACGTCAACTTAAATAGGTTTACCGTTCAGTAAAGTAATACTTATAAAAATTATACAGCTCGTCATAGTCACCTCCAACTTTCAAATCGATTTTACTCAAAATGACATTTTTGGACATACAACATTTGTGCTCTAAGCCATCATATCAAATGTAAAAAATACCACTCAATTACCATTCAACTAGTAAAAATCATTTTACAAACTTTTAAAAATTACATGAATATATAAGTATAATCCTTTAGAGCAATTAACAATTTTTTTTAATGCAGATGTGTGATGAAAATTTAAAGATTATGAATGTTAATTGACGATATCCCGGAAGTAGCCATGATGCTTTCATATGGAGAAATTCTAATCTTTCTACAGTTAGGGAACAAATTTATAAAATCTTTCAAGAGCCATTTTTTTTAGGTGATTCTGGTAAATAAGTACCTATTATGTTTTTGTTTATATAAATTTATATTACACCCTTTTCTAAAGAAAATAAGAAACCTATTATGTAAGAAAAATTAGTATTTTGTAAATACAAATAAATATGCTACCCTTTGATGAAAGAATGAACAACCGGTTAAAAACTATAAGAAGCATAATTGAAAGATGCAATGGACTACTAAAAAATCGATTTAGATGTTTACGAAGGCACAGAGTTCTTCATTACCATCCCCAAACAGCAGCAAAAAATTACTATTGCTTGCAGCATATTACACATGTGTATTGATGTTAATATACCAGAACCAGAAGATAATACTGATGTAAATATCGATTTCGGTATGTGGAAATGTAGGCTAAGATAATGACGAAGCAGTGGGAAGAGTGAATCCAGATTTATTAGAAGGCAACTACAAAGATAAATAATTAGACGATATTTTACAAATTAATGTTAAAAATCTTTAATCTAAAATTATTTTAAATACACTCTTATCTATATTATTTGTTTCATTTTCAACAAATTTTGGATTAGCATCAGCAATACTGTTAAAAATATTTCAAACTAATAACTCTGTTATTGTTACAGTCCAAATGCGAACACATTTTTTCCTTATATTTATTTTACCTAACTTTCCAAACTTATAATAAAAGGTTCTAATATATAATGTAACATAAAACAAAAACATTTAGCAAAATATATAAGATCATGTTGGTTAACAGCAAAAATGGTTTTACTAAAACAGCAATGGGAAAGTAAATGACAACTCTAATTTTGATTTTGTAAAATTGAAAGATATAGTTTCTAAGATTTATTTGTTTGTTTTGTTGGTTTCATTCATAACAACTAAATGTTGCAATTCATTTTTTTTTGTGTTCCATATATTCGATTTTTTACAAAAAATAATGTTCTAAAATTTGGTCTTTTTTATTCACACTTTTCAATAAGTTTTGTGTCAACTTCAATGAATTTTCCAGCCTGCGTGTTTTAGTGAGTTTTTGTGGGATCTTTTTCATCCTGCTTGTTAATGGGGATGGGTGTCTCAAATTATAGGAATGTTTCTGTAAAATGATATCTTCTCCAAATTGTACATTGTCCGCCTCTACGCTTTAATATCCAATATGGCTGTGTTCCTATATATATATATATATATATATATATATATATATATATATATATATATGTACATATCCGGAAAAAAGTACCTCTTCACCTTTTCCCAAAGATTTCATAAAAAGTGACAGTTTATTACCTGTCAAGAAATACAAAATGTCAAACTTTTTTCCCGTTAGAGAAAAAAATAATTTATAAAGTTTAAAATACGTTATTAAAATGGTTTCCTTATCTTAACCCTTACATTTTTTATTTCTTCATTTTTTGTTAATGATAATGGTATAATAAATGTCCATATTTACATCTTCTAATACAAAAGTATCGGTCCCACATTCTGTCACCGAAGATAACCCATGGATAAGATAACCCATTGGATAAGAGGTTTAACATTTTACAATCTTGTGGTTCCAAAAAAGCTTCAGGGCTATATGGGGGTGGCCCACCTCCTATTTGATTTACGTTTATATTATATTGGGACACTTTGGATTTAATATATTTTTTTTGTAATCCTGCCATGTCTACAAATAAATGTAATAATCAATTATTAAAAGATAAGCTCTTTAAATTGAATTTAACAGAAGTACCTTCCGCCATTGATGCCATCTTTTTTAGAGCCGGTCGGTATTGCATTTAATCTATCTGTTAATTCACCACAAAGTCCTTTGGCTTTCTTGAATGTAAAAGTGGACGTGAAGCGACCACTTTTTAATTGCGGATATGTTTGCATGAATTCTAGTAACATATCTTTTTGTACATTTATAATAGGTGTCGATCTAATATTTAATATTTTATCCATATTAATAATTTAAAAAATTAATTACTTTAAATGGAAAATATAATATGTCATTGAAATTGTCAAAAAATAATGAAAAATTGACGTAAAGTGCCTTCTAAAATAGTTCTAACGTACCACGATACACACGTGTATCGTGTAACGTACAACTTATAGCGTTTTCGACTGATGAAACTGGTGCGCACTTTTTAACACTTGGTGCAAAATTTGTTTTCGGCTCGTAAGAGCAGTGCGAGGTCAGTTTTTGAATTTTCGGTTGGAATCAATTCAAAAAAATAAACCGGTGCGCACTTTTGTGAACCGAGTGTAGAGAGAGGTTTTCAGTTTCAGTTCAGTCCTAACAAATATGGCGATGGCAAATGTAGAGTTGTTTCTAAATATGTAATTTTTTTAGAATTTTTAAAGAAATATTGGAAACTTCTTCGTTAGATTCAGACGAAGAAGATTTAATTAAGGCCAAGTGTAATAAAACTAAACTGCCAAAATTTCAAAGATTACATTGAATTGTTGGGGTCGCACCTGGATGACTCTTAGGTAGGTACCATTAATATTCTTGTAAGTCCTGTATATGCATAGTATACTTTGGCATCTTAAGAGTTCAAACCACTGTACAGATCAGTGGTTCAAACATAAGTAAGTTTATGTTAATCTGTTGATAAAATATTAAACAATATTATAAATGTTTAAAATGGAAGCTTGGCTTGGATCTTGTTTGGAATTTGGTAGGTACTACTTCTACTTATTACTCAGATGATAACTGTCAAATAGAATAAAATGCACTGGGTGGTCAACTGCGTGTTCGGTTGAAATAAGTTTATACAATTGAACCTGGGCTGCTATTTTCGTTCTCGTGCGAATCACATACTTTGATTTTACTATACGGAGAATGGTCGCACTGCGCAGCTTTCTGAGTGCCTTTTAAAAGGAGATAGAGAACTCCGCCATTTTGAACCCTTATTACGTGTTGCCTACATCTTGGCGCAATATTTTTAATAGGTGCGTTTTAATCATCCGCTTCTGCTTTGGAATTGTCGGTTTTCTTGTTTTAATCTGACAGGTTAAAACGACTAAACCGACAATTCGGGAAGCAGAAGCGGATGATTAAAACGCACCTGATATTTTGCTTGCTGCTGTCAGTGTCAGTGAATATTATTTTTGAAGTCACAGTTTATTGCCGAAGAATCAGTTAGGTTAGCTCACTCGGACCAGTTGAAAGTTCCAAAATAACATCCACTCCAGGGATACAAATTCAGAATACGCAGAAGACTGCTGTTTTATTATAGGCGGTTGTCATATATTGTATTATCTGAGTTACACAGTGTATAAACTGAAACATTGAGAATCAAAGTGCCGACGCAGAGTGAGCGATCTGATTCTTTAGCTGTAAACTGTGACACAGGGTTCAAAATGGCCGCGCCCTATGTTGGGCGTGTCGGACCTCTCTCTTGCCTCGTTTAAATCAAAGTATGTGGTGCGAATATATTCGTATACGAACATACGTATGCGTAGTTTTTTCGATTGACATTTATATTTCATATTTTCAGCATGCATTCGAATAGCAGTACGATTCGTCTAAATTTAATTCGAATGAATGAGTTGGCAACGTTACAAAATAATTAACTGTGACAGCTGAAGCTTCCGCGGTGAGTGTTTTGTGGTAATTTCACATACTTTGATTAAAATCAAAGTATGTGGGTAATTTGGTCTTGTTTGTTGACAGTTTAAATCATTTGTGATTTGTGTGACAGTGTGCAGACTGGACTTGTATTTTTTTTTATTTAATAAAAAATTATGAATAGTAAAAAAAGAAAAACAGGGAGCATATCCCAAGATCAAAAGAAAAAGCTGATCCAATTTATGGAACAAAATCTTGATCTTCGTTCTGGTAAATTTACCAAAAATTTTACATTCAAAACAGGTCAAGAGTTATGGATGCAAATAACCCACATATTAAATAGTCTTCCTGAAAAAAAAAAAAGGTTGGCGGCAATGGAAAAAGGTAAAGTTTACATTTAATATAGATATATTTTGCTTGAATATATATAATTACTCTCAAATTCTTCAATTCTAGTAATATATTTATATTCCCATTGTCTACTTGCAATTCTTTAGAGATTTTAATTATTTTAGACATGGGCAGATATTAAAGTCCATACAAAGAAAAAAAATGCACTTATTAAAAATTATCGAGTTACCACTGAAGGAGGTCCAACTCTACCGATAGATAAAATTCTTACTACTGAAGACAAAAAGTAGTAAGCATGATTGACCCTTTATTAATTGATGGTCTTGATATTGAAGAACCATCAGCCATGTTTAATTTTGAACAAGAACCAGAGGAAAATAGTGAATTGGAAATAGATACGTTCACTCCTCATTCCGATTCTGATAGAGGTAGGTTCACAAATTAAGTGAAAACTTTTGTTAGACAAGTACTCATATAAATGAATCTATTATATATAGTATCTGTTTATTTTTAATTTTAAATGCATTTTTTACTTTATACCTAGTGTAATTATTTTATTGCTTCTTTGGTTTAGGTGAAGAACAAAACACTAGTACATCAGAAGAAAAAAATCACTATTATATTAGAAGAATAAAACACCAAAACATTAATAAACGAAGAAGAGAGAAAAAAAATTCTGGAAGAGAAAGAAAATATTCCATTGTCTTCAAAAAAAAAAAGTCAGGAAAGAAGTTGTTCCAAGTAACGAGATTACAAAACACAATTGCGGCTACTAAAAAGATGGCAGGTCAAAATGAAAGACGATTGACCCAAAAGGAGCAATACGAGACCAAAAAATTGCAACTTTATGAACAAGACATTGCAGTCAAGACTCGTATTGCTACAGTTTTGGAAAAAATATTGGAGAAAATGTTTTAAGTATTATAGAATATTTCATTGTTATGTGTCAACAGCCTGTCCTATTTTATTTTTATTTATGTTTTTCTGCTAATAAAGTTCATTTTTTTGTATTGTAGTTCATAAATGTATTTAATATTTTTATCATACATGACTTCGAATCATAAAAAGAAATTCTATACTTTTTGGTATACTTTAAATACACATTTCTAAAATTAGGAAAATTAAATTAAATTTTTGAGTAAATAAAATTTATTCAGGTTATTAAATATACAAAATACCTAATCTATGCATTAAAATGATTTCGAATAAGGTTCTGCTGCAATCTTCTTCCAGCAAGTAAATCTTGATTAATTCTGTGGTGGTTAAGCTGAGCTTCTTCATTACCAGCATGTTCAGCTGCATACATGCCATATTCTATATCTTGATCTTCGTCACCTAATTGAACATTCGGAGTACCTTGATTTATACACATGTTATGTAAGATACAGCAGCTATTTATTATTTTACTGCAACGAATTGGAGAATAGTGAAGTACCCGGAGTTTTAATAAGCAGCGAAATCTAAGTTTTAAAACTCCATTACACTGTTCAATTAATGATCTGGTAGATCGGTGCCTTTGATTATACCTATCTTGATTGGTTCCTGGCTGGGCATTAGCTAATGGTATTAATAACCATGGCCTCAATGCATATACCGAATCTCCTATGAAAAAAAGTTAGATAAGCACAGAAATAAAAGTTTATATTATGAATTACAATGGTGATGCCTTGATATATTTAAAATGGAATAGGTTACATACATAATCCACTTTAACAGATTTGTAAGAATATCAAAAACATAGGTAAGAACCAATATATTGAAGTAGTGATTTTTTATTGAATATAATCAATTACCTAAGAAATAAAAAGATGTATGTCCATTTTGATGCAAGTTAAGAATATACTCTGAAACTCTGCTATTATTCCATATGAAGGAATCATGAGTGCTTCCCGGGTATGGTCCACACATATTCATAATTTTTAAATTAGAGTCACAAATCTGAAAAGATAATATATATTGTATTTCATCAAACTTATAGACATATACTAACCAACTGTACATTAATAGAGTGGTAACCCTTTCTATTTACGTACACCGCTTCTTCTGGAACAGGTGGGGGATAAATTGCAACATGCGTACAATCTACACATCCTATGACCCCAGGAAATTGATTTTTTCTATAAAACCTACAATTATTTTGCAAATTAATTAAGTATAGTCAAAAGTATAATTCTTGAAAAAAAAGCAAAGTTTGAATTAACATACTCAGTGCGACATTGCCCTAGTTCTTCCAAGTTTGTCGGCAACTGTATGTATTGGTTTATAATATTTGGTTGGTTTAGAGCATCTGTTACTTCCTGGATACATTTGCTAACGGAAGCCTGGCTAACACAATGGTTAATGTTTCGACCAATGTCCATTTGGTAGCTACCAGTTGCAAAAAACCGCAGAGCCACCAAAACCTTAATAAAAATAAAAATGAGAAAGTTTACCTACCTCTTCTATAGAATCTTTAATCCATTACCTTTCTGGAAACACTTAACCCATGAATCTTTACAGGTTCCACCATGTAAGGTTCAACTAAATCTATAAGATCCAGAGTTAACTGTTTTGTAAGACGTTATTGCCGAACAAATTCATTATCACTTAATTCTTCAAAGAGATTAGAAATTTGTCGAATACATCTTCTTCTTGGTCTATTTGCCAGTATTTCTGCTTCTTCCAAGGCTGCTATAGCCGCCAAATTTATCATGTTATTAAAAATATTATATATTATAGTAAAACAAAACAAAAATTGTGTTCGATATATTTCCCTTTATACCTTTTTTTGAGCATTCGTTGCTTGAACTATATGCGGATTATATAAATTCGTTTAGTCAGGACCATAATATGTAAATCAACCGAAAAATAGTTCGTCTACGAAAGCGTTCGATGGCTTGAAAATACGGTTTTATCTATTTCATTCGTAAATATTAGAATTCCGTGTACGGAACTACTTCGCACGAGAACGAAAATAGCAGCCCAGTGCTGAGCAACGAAAACTCGTACTTCATGAGTGTGAACTGAGTGTGACCAGTCGAAAACGCTATAAAATATGAAGACTAGAGAGGAGGAGGCGAAATTTCAAATTTCCGTCCTTCTTTTTATAAAGTTCGCGAAATTGACTGTAGGTGGCATGTCTAATGAAAGCGCCGTCAATTGTGTATGTAAGTCAATGTAAAATAAATTGATTTTTAAAAAAAATGATTTAAAGAATCAAAATAATGTGAAAAAAATAACATGAGTAACAAAACATCAAAGCTAGATTTACGTCGTTCCAGGTAAAACAGGATAAAAATCAAATGTAAAACTAAAGAAAACACAAGGCGAAATTAACTCAATGTCTTTTTAGAGCTTTTAATGTAAGTAAAATAATGTATTCATGTCTAAATATAATATTTATTGTTAACTAGTCACAATATAAGGTGTAGTTTATTTTATTGAAAGTTTCTATAATATAAAATTTTACAGTTATAGATGCTGATTTACAAACAACAATAATTATGCATTAAATTTAACCTACTAAAAAAGAAAATTTATTTGTTATAGAGTTTTAATGTTAGATAAAGGGTTGCTACTATTATTTTTTTTTTGACCTCAATTGTGTCATTGTAAATGTTTTTTATAGGATACTAAACATTTAGAAAAGTGACAGCATGTATATCGTTCCTACTGCAAAAAAGCACTTTCTAGAAATAATGCTGTTCTATACGTTTTAGAAGATATTATTAAATATTATGAGACTATTTTTACTGATGGTACTGTTAGCAAAATAAAACGGGAAAAGCTGAAATTAGAGGATGAGGTAATACGATGTACATTCCCAAATCTCCCTTTATACTTGTATTACAATATTAAAAAACCTGCTACCTGTGTTTTATTTTACTCTTAAAACTATATATTGGTTTAATTCAAAAAAAAAAAAAAAAAAAAAAAAAAAAAAAAAAAAAAATGCCACAAAATTGTACTTATCAAATTTCAGCAATTAAGAAACCTTTTCGAATTTGGTTATACATACCTAATTTGTATTTGATATAGATAAAATTAAATAATTTATTAATTAAAACATGCAAAACTTATTTAGAAATAAATACAACAGTATGTTCTGTGTTTTATTTACCTGTTAACAAGTTTATTTTTATTATTTTGACAAAATTATGTATAATTCCCATAAGAAGCCTATCCAAACGCACGAGTGGAACCTCTTGTTTGAAAACCGTGATGATCCAGCCGCATTTTTGGAACGCCTTGACGAAATTTGCATTTCCAAGGGAATTTCCAAGGACTGACTACTGCCGTACATCCCCGAACTGTTAAAAGAAGAACCCGCCTTGTGGTTCCGTAATAACCGAGATAATTGACCAATTTGGGAGGCCTTCAAAGCCGATTTCAATATATTCTTTTTTTCAGTGTCCTATCAGTTTAATCTGGAAACCAAAATTAGCCGTCGACTGGATCGTAGGAACGAATCCGTCACTTCCTTTATTACCGACTTGCAGACCCTCATGAGGAGACAGGGGTCGTTTACCAGTGAGCAGCGACTAGAGAGGCTGTATCGTAATCTTCTGCCCGAATACAGGCTGCAGATCCGCAAGAGAGATTTCAGTGATTTGTCTACCTTTTGGAAAGCCGTAAATGAATGTGAGCTTTTAAGAAAAGAGTTAGAGACCGTGCCAAGTAACTCCAGAACCAGGCAATTTGCACCCCGTTACCAGGCTCAAGAGTCTGTATGCCATCCCAGTGCCAGTACTGGCTACCGTGGTCCCCGCTGTCAAGAGCGATTCGAGGTTAACAATGTTGGTTCTCAACAAACCATCTTCCCACAGGAAAATGCCTCCCTAGAGACCGTCCTGCTTATAGAAGAGGACGCACGACCAAAAGAGATAACAATCCTGGAGAATACATTCTCAGCCCTTGTGGACACTGGAACGTCCCGGTCCTACCTAGGAGACCGCCTAGCTGAGTTTCTTACTATTCGGAAGCAACCCAAAAAGACAGAACCCGCTTCTGCAAGGTTAGCTAATGGTAGTACCATCCGAGTCCAGGATTCCTACTCTTTACCATTAAAATTTGGCAGCCGAACAAGTGTTGAGGATATCATACACTTCTTCAATTTAAGCACTGACTTAGTGCTTGGGATGGATATCCTAATCAAACTGTCCGATTAGAGTTAGGTAGTGGTAAAATTTTTGTAGGTGATATGTTGATACCTTTAACACCCCGTTGGTTGCCTTGCTACCCAATTGGGATCATAGAGCAACCATTAGAGCCGCCGTCATCTCATCCGTTAATATCTAAAACTCCGAATAAAATTATAGTAAGTGCCTTGGTACCGGCCGTCGATTCAAACCGTATCAAGGAGAAACCGCCCCCCCGAACCACAGAGCGATAGGTAAGTAAAAGAATGTATTCGTGTCTAAATATAATATTTATTGTAAACTAGTCACAATATGTATCTTGCGAAGTGTAATTTATTTTATTACAAGTTTTTATAATATAAAATTTTACAGTTATAGATGTCGACTTACAAACAGCAATATTTATGCATTACATTTAACTTACTAAAAAGAAAATTTATTTTTTATAGAGTTTTAATGTTAGATAAAGAGTTGCTACTGCTATTTTTTTTTTGACTCCAATTGTGTCATTGTAAATGTTTTTATAGGATACTAAACGTTTAGAACAGAGGCAGCATATTTATATATAGTGCCGATAAAGCACTTTCTAGAGATGATGCTGTTCTATACTTTTTAGAAGATATCAAATATTATGAGAAATTTTTACTGATGGTACTGTTAGCAAAATAAAAAGACGGAAGCTGAAATTAAAGGATGAGGTAATACCATGTACATTCCCAAATCTCCCTTTATACTTGTATTACAAAAATAAAAAATCTGTTAACTGTGTTTTATTTTACTCTTAAAACTATATATTGGTTCAATTCAAAAAAAAAATTTGCTACAAACTTGTACTTATCAAATTTCGTCATTTAACAAACCTTTTAGAATTTGGTTATACCATTAAGATAGAA